CCCGGAGGCAGAGTCCCGGTGGCCGCGCCATGGTCGACTATGATTCTATGATTCATGATGATTGAACCATGGATGTCATCCCGGTTGGGCCCTGCCTGCTCTCTCTTCATTAACGGGAAGGCGACCGCGACGAGGGACCCTTATTACGAAAGGCAGCTCGTCAACATACATCAGCAGGAACACTTCCTGCGAACCAGATACATTGATAGACGGCTCTTTGAAATCCGTTGAACACCTGCTGCGAAGGAACTGCCCCAAATCGCGCAAATGTGCGGCAGCAATTGCGTAGCAAAGGTGCGGCAAACTCGTGTCAAGTTCCCTTCGAATTCACACTCGCTTCAACCTCGCTTCGAATTTGCTTCAAATAATTCAGTTCAAACTCGATTACATTCGTGCCAAACTCGCGTCAAATTCTCGCCAAATTTGCATCGAAATGCGGACAAAAGCGCCGCTTGCTCCAGTTGAGTGAACAGCTGAAAAGTTGAATAGCTTTAAACTTCCTAGTTCGCCGCCGCGAATTTGACGCGAATTTGAGGCGACTTTGACGCGACTTTGCCGCGAAATTGACGCGAATTTGCCGCGACTTCGACGCCAATTTGCCGCGACTCTGACGCGACTTTGCCGCGACTTTGGACCTGACTCGATCACGGCAGCGGGGCAGCGCGGCGACACGTGACACGTGACGTCCGAGGCCAAGGATTCACAGATGCAAAATATGTCCTCCAGGGGTACAGATTTTCGCGGATTTTTCACAGATTCTGCAAGCAAGGATTCACAGATTTTTCACAGATGTTTCACAGATGTTGGAGGTCATGATTTCGGGATTCACTCTTTTTTCACAGATTCTTCACAGATTCCGGTGGCAGTGGATTCACTCTTTTTTCCCAGAAATAATTCTTTGAACCCAGGCCAGAGGTTGCCAGTAATCAGGGTTATAAAACTAGTGGCCTCAATCCTAAATCTAGGCCCTCTTAATAAATCTGCATGTCTACAGGGTGGAATACGGTTTGAGCAGGCCGTAATGCTCAAAGGATCAGCGGGCTTTTAAGAAGTAGGGATGGGGTTAGAAGTTTAGAGTTGCACTTTGTACAGTTATATGGGGACGCTTAGGATGCTATCAGTCTTCGCCGTCGTCCTGGTAGCGGTAGTCGTAGGGTTGCTATATCGGAGATCGCTGTTCTGAAGCTGCAAGATGGCATAAACCCTTGCCCCTAAACCCCGAAACCCTTTTTTGCACCCACACTCTGCCAAGCAGCTGAAGCCCTAAACCGTACATATCCTACACTTGTAACCCTAAACACTACATCACCCAACCCTAAACCCTAAACCCTAAACTTTAGCCCTAAACCCTATCATCCCTCAACCCTAGACCCTGCTCCCTAAAATGGGGGTTTCCGAGAATAGGGGACCCTAATATAGCACCCCAAATAGTAGGATCCTTAGTATAAGGACCCCAAAATAAGGTACCCCCAACTTCCGGAAACTCCCTATTTTTCGCCCTAAACCCTAAACCCTAAATCCTACAATCGCTAAACTTTGCCCTAAACCCTATAAACTCTAAACCCTATTATGCGCACCGGGCCTCCGTGTCCGTCACCTCCAAGGTTACCTCGGCCTCATCGGCTTCGCTGTCGCCTCGGCGGTTTCTGGAATGGATCTGGCTCAGGACCTGAGTATATGTATGTACACATGTATGACACACATACATACATACACATATACATATACATATACATATACATATACATATACATATACATATACATATACATATACATATACATATACATATACACACATAACATATGTATATATATATGTACATATATATATATATGGTAGAGCGAGCAACAGAAATTGCTAATTAATGAAAGTAAAAAAGGCAGACAGACAGAGATAGATAGACGGATGCTTCAACAGAACACGAGCAGGCGAATTATTCGCAAAGATTTCAGCCAGGAAAACGAGATGGACATTGAGCAGGAACTCGTAGCGAAGATCCGGATGTACCTTCAACCCTTTTCTGTTTTGCCTCCCGCCTGGCTAGGACGAACCTACGATGCTAAGACTTCGGTTCAAGGTGATGAAGATTCAGGGCTCTTCAATAGAGCACTGGGAAGGCCTGCAAGCCAGAGAGCCCAAACCCCATTAATTGAACAATATACCTTAAATTGCCTTAAATCATTAGGAACTTACACAGTATGATTTTTAAGGTATATTCCTGTGTTGAGGTGTGTTGGGCTCCAATACCCTAAATGGTTTGTTTAGACCCGGAAACTGTACACCCCGAACCCCAATGAACCCTAAATACCCCAAAACCACTTCCACCCCACGCGCAGCTCCCCTCAAGGCAGGTGCCGCTCACGACACCGAGGGTGCTCAGGGTCCGCCTGGCCGAGGCCAACTTACTGTGCCTTCATTACTCAGCGGGAGCCTCGTCAATCACAGTTCCCAGTCGTCACAACTCGCATACTTGTCATGTGCCTTTTCGTGACAGCCACGGTCGCCACAAGCATGTGTAGCCGCTAGCATCAAACATCATTGTCGGCATCATAACTGTGACAACCATGGCATTCGTTGAATTGGCCGTATACGAGCAAGTGGTGATAATAGCAGTTTGAGAACGTGACACTGATCGACATCAGTCATGGTAGCAGTAGTAGACTGACAAGGACACTTTCAACAAGAGCGACAGCTGTCACCACCGCCACTACCACCACAACCACAGGCACCGCTGCCGAGCACAACCTGTAAGGAACAGGAAACAACGTTGTACCACCCAATCCGTCTGACGTGTGGTGCTATACAGGTTCACTGCGCCAAGATACCACTGTCCTGAACCCTAGCCCAGTTACCACGACATGCAGTGGATTTAGGGCTGGGGACGCAGAGAGCCGCCTTTGTAAAATGAGATTCTTCATTGATCTATTGAAACACCACCCTCGCCCCGACTAGCTCTAAATGGTCCCAATCCCTACATCTCCCAAAAAAGATTCTTCCCTGACCTCTCAAAGGTGAGATCCTCATGTCTACTCTCGCCCGAATCACCCTAAGTCCTGACTTCCCCCTGGGCTCAAGCCTAACCTCCACACCCAATCATCTTGACTGAGGCCGACATGCGAGAACCAAGACCGAGGCTGCACAACCCTAAATCCGAAGCTTACTTATGGTTTAGGGGTTTACGCTCTCACAACTCGGACAAGCCAGGCGAGGTTCATGGTACGAGGTCGGCGTGACACAAGTTTAGGGGTTTAGGGTTTAGGGTACTAAAGTCTAGAAACACTAAACCCTACACCCGAAGCCGAATCTTGTCGGGAGAACTTCGCGGCGGCGCCACAGCGCGCGAGTGCTCGCAAGCAGGACACGGCACGTGTCCTGAGCTCCTGCGGTTCTCGGATTGTGAGGTTCCGTGTAAAGGTTACAGTAAGGGTAAGGACTCATTTAAAGGCCACTGTAGAGGGTACTGCAAGGCTACGGCGTTTAGGGGTTTGGGCTTAAGGTGTTTAGGGGTTTGGGCTTGCTGACGACTCGCAGAGATATTGGCGCTCCAGGTTTGTTTTCTTGTGCGGGCCCTTTCACGTCTGCCGTTTTACTAGGGAGGACCCATTGTTCCATCTCTGCTAAGTTCAAAAATAAGGCTTTGGGAATTCAGGCTAGCGCATTCTTCTTGCCAACACCACATACATCCCGGTGGAGTCTCCTCCGACACGGGCTGCGCCAGCACATCTGTAAAGAAAAGCTCCAGGTCCATGGGGACAGTAGTTGTGCCTGGCTATATTGTAGCGGCAGAAACCATGAAGCTGCGAGCGGATTGCAGGGAGATGGGCAAGAAAGTGGATCCACGACAGACTGGAAAACCCGCCACAATCTGCAATGCTTATGGGTCCTTCCTGGTAATCTCCCACCACCACGCAGGTACTATGATGAGACACCGGAATCCGGCTAAACTTCGGACCCTTTTTCTTCCCCTTCTTGTATTGTACTGGCTGGACCTTTGAGGCAGTTGGCTTGAAGTCGGGTCCGGGGGTTGTGTGGGCTTTTATGCTTTTTCTGGCATGGAGAGATTATATAAGCCCTGTAAACCTAATGTGCGCAAATTGTAAGCGTGCATGCGTGTGCATGTGTATATGTATATATAGATATCATATATATATATATATGTATGTATGTATGTATGTATGTATGTATGTATGTATGTATGTATGTATATGTACTTAAAATTTATGTGTATATATGGTTCTGTCTAGTCTAACCATCGGTCGAACTATCTACAAGTCTATTAATCTAACTATCTACCTACCCATCCTTCTAACATACATACTGTATGCATGTATGTATGTATATAGATATATAAATGTGTCTATAACACGCACACACACACAGGGCACCAAGGCCCCGGCAAAGCAGGGCATCTTCTAGAATCTCCACAGCATCCGCCAGCTGTCGGAGCATCCATTCCTGCTGGCTGGCTCGGTCCTGCAGCGCGGTATGCGGCTCTTAGGAGCGGGCTCCGGGGGTTTTGGTTTGGGGGCCAAAAGATCTGGGCTAGGAACTTGCGGTATGTTATGCTATGCTCCTCATCGGAAACCCCATGGAAGCGCTCGCTCTCTCTCTCTCTCTCCCTCTCTCTCTCTCTCTCTCTCTGCCGCTGCATCCTGATCGTCCCACTGCATGAGGCAGTATGAAAGCCGGCCATGTTAGCAGACTTGAAAGGTCACGGACCCTGTCATGCAGGAACGTCAGAAGCTCAGGAATGTAGTACTGAGTACTTACGCCAATTACGGAGTGGAGATGAAACAGGAACCCTCAAAACCCCTAGGGCAGGGCATGATGGTGAAGTAGGGCTTGGTGCTCAGCGTTGGCACCTGCTTGGAGGAGCTCCGGCTTCTTTGCGCGTCACTCCGTTGGGAATCCTCTAGATTTTTCAGCACTGTGGGTGTAGGGCTGACGGTTAGCTTTCAATTTAGGGTTTCGGGTTAGTTTTACTCAATTTAACTCAACCCTTATACCTACACCCCCTTCGAGCCGCTAACATTTTCGATCGATTGTGGCCCCTGGACTGTAGGTGGCCCTAGACGCGACCATTGGACCATCTATACCCTAAACTTACCCGCGCGGCCTGCAGCTCCTGCACCACCTCAGCCTTGGCCGTCTTCCTTTGGCCGGGTTTAAAAATGAGCATTTTTAATCCTTATTATTAGGGTTTCATTATAACAAAAATGTAAAATTGTATCCAACAAGGACCCAGGGTATGGGCCTTGGAGGGCTTTTGGAAGTGGGCATGTGAGTTGGGGAAATAAGGTTGAGAAGCGCGGGGAAATTTTCGGGGGGCTGGGTTTCCGGGTTTAGGTGCCTCCGCGGCCTTTGGTTTCGAGGGGTCTCTTGGGCACTGAAGGAGTGCCATGAGGCAAGGAAACTGCAACTAGTAACTAGATTCTGCATTTCCAGGGTTTTGTCCTGCCGGAGGGATAATCTTCAGAGAACAGGACTGTTAGAAGATGGTGAACCAGAAAACTAGGTAATTCCAAGATCTAGAATCTAAAGCCCTTCAAATGAAAGGGGGGATCCCTCTTTGCAACAGGCCTCGTTGTCCAGCAGAACCCGTCAAGGGGAGCCCCAAACCCGAAACCGGGTGATGTTCGTGCTTCTGGGGTCCTGGGCTTCCGTATGGACCTTCGAGAAAAGGCAGTCTACGCTGGTCACAAAGCTTTAAAGGTTTCCAGTGCTTCCTGTGAGTGGTGGTAGTAGTAGTTAGTACTAGTAGTACTACTAGTAGTAGTAGTAGTAGTAGTAGTAGTAGTAACAACAACAACAACAACAGAAGAAAAAATAATAGTAGTAGTAATAATAGTAGTAGTAGTAGTAGCAGCAGCAGTACTAGTGGCAATAGTAGTAGTGGTGTGCTGTGGGACCTCCAGGGCACCGCAATTAAGGCTGCGAAGGGAGAGCTCAGGGATCCCTCAAGCCGCAAGACTGTTAAGGTTTGAGGTTTAGGGCTTAGGGCCTTTTTTTTTAAACGTCCCCAGAGTTTAGGGGGGTTTAGGGGTTTAAGGCTCTTTGAGGCGGCCACCGAAACACCCTTAAGGGAACCCTTTGAGGAACCTTAAACCCTTAAGGAATCCTTAAAGGAACCAACTTAACCTCGAGCGACATTTCCAGGGTCGACTCGTACTCCTCACGCGTCTCTTGCAGGAGAACTTCCATGGCCTTCCTCGCGGCACCGGAAGGCCGGGAGTTCATCTGAAGGCTGGGAGTTATTCAAGTTTTCCCCAGAGAGCCCAGTACCCCTTAATTAAGGAATATACCTTAAGTCATAATACTAAGACCCCTATAACTGAAGGTATATTCCTTGTTAAAGGGGTATTGGGCTCTCTGGGTCTAGGGCTGGTAGTGCAGTACAGAACCGGCTACAAAATTCACAGAGCACCCTGGGTCCTGACTTCGGGACACTGTCGCCGGTCCGCAAGGAGCTGTATCCATGGTTTCACCTCTAAGCGCTTCGGGGCTCAGCATATGACCATACACTGAGTCTGGGGTTTAGGCTCTCACAACTCGGACATGCTAGGCGAGGTTCGTAGGTGCGAGTCTGTGTGAAACTAGCAGCACGGAGGGTTTAGGGTTTATAGGGTTCAGGGTTTAGGGTTTGAAAATCCAAATCCTGGCAAGCACTGCTTCGAAGTGAACAAATTGCCAAACACCTTGCCTACGACAATTCCGGGCAACATCCTCATTCTGACAACACACCCAACTTCTACCGATGATTGGGCTCCATGTGGGCTTGTGGGGAGGGGAATGCAGATGTTGAGGAAAATCAGGGCTGCTCGTGCATTCCAACCGCCCCACTCATGGACAGCAACTATCCTGGCAGTAGTTGCGGCAGGTTCAACGGTATGCAGGGTTTACACCCCCAGCATCCCTGGCACGACGATTGTGAAACTTATTGGCCAAACATGAAGAGCAGCAGGAACCACAACGGGCCAAATGTCTGACAAGCGTATGAAGTTCTGACATATCCGACCATCTCCTTTTGATGTACATCACCTAAAGGGGCGGGGGGGGTCGTCGTACATTAGTTGGGGCTGGGACTGTTTGTTGGAGGATCATGGACGCTTACCAAAACAACTTGCTGCAGACCCCTATTCGCCTAGCCAAACTGCTTGATCCTCCAAACACACCCTTTTCCCAGAAGGCTAAAACTACATAAACCCAAACCCTAAACCCCTACAACCCCGAACCTGCAACCCTAAACTGCTAAACCCTCTCTGTCCCAGGCATCCAAACTCTACAACCCTAAAACACCTAACACGCCAAACCCCAAACCTTTTTGCATCCAGGCACCGCTTTGATGGCACGGGATCGAGTCTCGCGCACCTCTGCGCGTCCGGGTTTTAGGGTTTAGGGCTTCAGGGGCTTTGGGTTTACGGTTTCGGGCTTTAACAGGGCTTTGGGGTTTCAGCACTCACACTCGGACTTGCCTAGGCGAGCCTCCAAACTTTTCTTTTGAAGCGTTGCAGAGCGTCGCCACCGTCTTTACAACTGCCTGGGGGCTTGTACAATCCGACAAAGCCGGAAGCTTTCGGAATGGCGGGGCCCTGGTGGTCGGTCTGGCAGGGCCGACCCAAAATCTCTCAGCCGATTTGTACCATCCGACAACATCGAGCCGATCGAAATGCCGTGACCTGTTGGCACTGGCGGGGACCGTTTTGTAAAGCTGGCCTGGACGCATGAATGAAACTGCCCAGGAATTGTTGGCGTGCATGCAAATTGCCAAAGACGTGCTGCTAATCGCAGCCTAGACAACTACAGCCTTTGGCATGCCTTTGGCACACAAGTTCCGTTTGGCGGACTCCGTCGTAGCCCGCGTCGAATTCTGACCATTACAGGCCAGGACACGAACTGTACTGGGGCGCTGTCGGTCGGGGTGTTTTGCTGCGGGTTCTCACTACATGGTCGTGAGTTACACCACGTGATACCTCAATCGCCTAGAATCGACTAGAACCCTACATACGTCATATCCCCGGAGGGGAATGCTCGAACTTACAGCAAATCACATAAACAAAGGGGCTGCAAGCGAATCACTCGAGAGCAGCCGATCGCAAGCACCTTCAAGCACTTGCCAATGCCTCCGAGCGGGTCATGCCCGCACAGAGACGGTGAAGCTCCGGTACAGACTTGACCACAAGACGGCCGTAGCGCGCTGCCCAAAGCGCCGCCAGACGTGGCCGAAGCGCCGCGCATGCTGCATTAAAGTCCTCTCCAACGAGCACCTGCAGCACCCTCTGCACGGCTTCGTGGCCATACCTCGTGATCGCCACATCGGCAAGGCGCCGGCCCACAGCCGCTCGAGCCAGGCTCACCTGGTCTTCTGGCGAAGAATGGGAGAGTGCCTTCGCAATGACGGGAGAGGCCGCCTGGTGGGAAAGAAGCTCCTGGATACTGGCCTTGAATGATTGACAGAGGATGTGCTGCTGCGCACGGGAGCCGTATCGCAGGAGTTGCTGCATGACAAAGCTTCCGTAGGCATGACGTGCCAGAGGAAGCGCATCGGACATCAAGATGTTTGCCACTGCCTCCATCTGCTCCTGTTGACAGTGTTCAAGCAAACGCTGAATCACTCGGCATCCATACTGATGGCGGGCAACCTCCAGGACTGTTGCCGCGCCGGCTTGCAAGAGCTCATCAATGAGTGGCTGGCAGTCATGCGGTCTGAGCGTGGCCACCAGACGTTGCAAGACATGGTTGGCATTGGGCGACAGGGCTGCGGCCACGACATGTCCGGAGAGCTCCTTGGCAATCTGCTTCCTCAGGTCGTTACAAGCCTGATCGACGGCCTCCTGGACCTTCCTGCAACCCTTCTGCCTCTGCGACAGCTGCCAGACCTTGCCCAGCACAGGCGATTCCGAGAAGTCGGAAGTGGTGCTTGAAGAATCCTCTGATGCGTGCTCACTGAATGCAGTAGCCGCCGCCACATCATCCGAAAACCCAGACCCGACCGGTGAGAGCTCACGAGGGGGGATTTGGCTCTCGATCTGCTGAACAGGCAAACCAACCATCACCACCGGAATCGCACGCACGGAAGAGAGCATCGCGGGCATCAGCAACGCAGGCTGCAGAACCACTGGCATCATGGAGGGAAGTCCGGGAAGCCCTGGAACGAAAGCCGGCATCTGAGTCATCTGCATGCTTGAGCACGCAGGTGTCGAGACTTCGAGGCTATACTCTCGAGATCGTCCAATGCTTGGGCCAAAGGGCTTTGGGGTTTAGGGTTTTGGACCTAGCAAGCTTCAAACTCTCGGCTGGTCTGCAGTTACTCCTCAAGGTGGTTAACATGGTTACTATAAGGATTACCATACTCAAGGCGTTTAGATCAAGCGTTCAGCCTGCGGGTGTAAAGGCTTCATTTAACTGCACTCGGCCCCCCCAGGAGTTGGGCTTTGGACATCTCAAGAAGCAAGCTGCTACTAAAAAGGCCACCTGAAGCTACTCTGCGACTGCTGGAGTCTCCATCACCCAAAACCCAAAGGCCTCCGTGAAACCTACCATTACTACTCGTATGATCTTCGCTATTGGAACAAGGGATGGTTAACTGGATTCATCACTGATCGTCGCGTTACTGTTTTTGATCAGTGCGTTATTGATGTCTGATTATGTCGTTGTTTCCTTCTCTCTTCCCGTCACCATTGCTGGTGGGATGACCTGCAATTACAATGGTGAGCGAAGTGCATGCAACTACAACGACGCATGCGAAGCTGCAAGTGTCCACGGATTCTCGGAACCCCTCCATCGTCGAACCCTGAGCCCTTGGAATTTGCCTTGCAGACAGATTCCTGAACAACGAGGACCCTGACCTCTACAGTTCTGGAAACCTGAAGATACCTTCTGGGCTCCCAGCGGTCCGCTCCAGTGCCTCCGCGCCCCCATCGAAGCGGACGACATCCCTGGCCTGGCAGTGTACTCTAGTTCAGGCCCACTACCTCTGATATACTAGCACTTCACCCAAAACCCCTCACAATCTGATGCAGACCATAAGCACCCCCACTCCCCTAAAAATCCCCAAGCACACAAACAAGCAAAACATCTGGGAGCCAACCTGGAGACGGGCACGGAGACTCTGCAACGCCATATCCTGAGCCAGCTTAAGGCTTCGAGGGCTTTGGGTTCACGGTCTAGCAACTCTGCCAAAGGGTTCAGGCTTCACTACGATTGGTGCAACTAGCTACGCTTCACAAACATTCCATTCTTAGCTCCTAAGCCAAACCCAGACCCAGTCCAAAGGACAAGCACCAAAATAGGCATATTTACCATCAGACATGAAGAAGGGAGGCAGGTAATAACACCCAACAACATTAAAAAAAAAACAACGGAACCAAATGAAGACTACCAAAACATGATGGTGGGCAGCACAACAACTACTTCCATGACTACCAGAGCTTCACATGGACATTTTTGATCCAAAAGCATTGGCGAATGCTCGGCAAGAATCTGTCGGTCCTTTTGCACATGGCATTGTGTGCTGGACAGCCGACATGTTTTTTTGCTCTTAGGATCTGGACCGAGGTGCTGCTGAGTGATCTTCAGGCTCCACCCAGACATCTGACCACACCCAATTCGTTCAAATTCATGGCTACTTTGGGGTGCTCCGGCCCGTTAGTGCTGCTCCTCAATCATCAGGCTCCGCTCCAGAAGTTCCTTCGCCTTCGGGTAGTCTCCGAGCTCTTTGCATACATCGCTCAGGCTGTCCAGCCTAGACCCACTTCGAAGTGCGTTGCCCCGAATTGCTGCTCATCTATACTCATGCTGCGCATCCAGCAGTCCCTTCGCCTTCTGGTATTCCTGCAGATGTTGACAAACACGGCCAAGAATGCCTAGTAAGCTTCAGGGTGTTCTGGCAGGTAGTACTGCTTCTGGATCTTGAGGCTGCGCTCTCGAGAAAGGTCCTTTGCTTTCCGGTACTCTCCGAACTGACTAGGCAGTATGACTCCCATAAATTGTTTAGCGTGAAGGCCACTTCGGGGTTGTTTGAGTTGTCTGCACCGTAGTGCTGATCCTTGATCTTTCTCCCTTTCTTGCTATCTCCGAGCCTTTCGAGTGTCGAGTGCAGAAGCGAGGTTGTTCAGAGTCTTGGCCACTTCGAGGTCTTCGGACGCGTAGGGTGGTTCCTTGATCTTCAGGCTGCGCTCCAGATCGTCTCGGCTCAACTTGTCTGCCATGTCGAAATCCTCACGACCCAGAACCTGCCGCACGATGCCTCGTTTGTTGTAGGTCTCCGCGCACATTGGATCCAGCTTGATGGCCATGCAAAGATCTTCGAAGGCCTCGAGGTGCCTGGCCTCTTCCAGCTTTCGCCAGGCACGTCAGTGCAGAACTTCTGCATCCTCGCAAGCTTCCTCTTCCTGCATGCAAGGCTCAGCCTCCATATCCTCAACCGTTTCTTCTGGCTTTCCGGCAGGTCGCCGAAGCGGGAACTCGAGCCCAGAGACTTGAGTTTAGCGCTTCGGGGCTCTTGGAACGTCTTTTTGAACGGGGTCTCTGATCGAAATTGGGAGCCGAAACCCGGACCCTAAACCCTAAATACCGAACCTGGCTTTTCTCAGGAACAGAAGCCCCGGATGCAGGCCTCGCTCTCCGCCGCAGCTTCTTCACCACGTCCTTGCAGCTGTCCTATCGCTTCTGTATTGAAACAACCTCTCAAGATAGAAGTTTCCCTCAGGGTTTAGGGTTTAGGGGGTGCATAGATACGTAGATAGACGGATACATGGATGGATGGGAAGATCGATCCACGGATGGATAGATAGATAGACGAATGATCGACGGATGGACCGACGGACGGATGGATGGACAGTTGGATACGTGGATAGGTGGATAGATACATAGAAAGAACGAAGTGAGGACGCTACCAAAAGTAGAAGCAAACAGCATGCAGTAGGAGACACAGCCATTCCATCAAAGGAGCTAGCAGGAAATCAAGTTGCAGTTTTACTCTCACGGCGGCAGCAAGACGAAGCATAGCAACACTATGCCGCGCATCTGATTAACTGAAGAGCTGTTCGAATTGACTGGGCTGATCTCCGAGGCATGTTAAGAAAGCGAACCATCTCTGCTCTTTCTTGAAGATTTACATGTTGCTGAATGCGGACATGGTGTTAGGAGTGTTCATGCGATTCTGCTTGGGGAGTCGTCGGACCTGGTATTTACCGGGGCATGCGGCAAGACGGTGCGGGTTTAGGGTTTCGGCGCTCACACTCGGACAATCCAGGCGAGGCATGTGGTGCGAGGTCTGCTGATAGGTGGGTTTAGTTGTTTTGCTTGGTTTAGGGTATAAGGTTTCGGGAGTAGGATGTAAAGGTTTGGGTTTAACATTTAAGATTTAAAGGATGGAAAAAAGGGTCCACCATAGATCTTTTGGTGTAATGAAGTGTGACGAACGTTCACCATCACAGAGCCCTCAAGGTTCCTCTAAACCACCCCCAGGTAGCCCCCAGAGCTCTACCACCATGACTTACCTAGGGGTTTAGGGTTTAGGGTTTCAAAGCCCCGAATCCAAAACCATTAGTTCGAGTCATATGGGGTCCCAACACCCTGAATCCTCAAGCCACACCCCCCTTCAAAACTTAAAACCCTACAAAACCCCTTAACCCAACCCTGGAACCTGATACCCTAAAGTGTCAAAGCCCCCTACAACACCCCGAAACTACTATGACCATGACTGGGGGCCGGACGCACAGAAGCAGAGGGCTCGCCCCCACGCTCAACATCCTCAGCAGCCTCTTCGAGTTCGATGTTTGATGGGTTTTTATTTTCAAAGGCGCTGTAAGGTTGTATGGGGGTTCGTGAGTTTTTTTATGGCGCTTTTTCAGTCTTTAGGCTTTTCCTTCTGGGCTTTGAGATTCAGGCTTTGCTTGTTTTAGCTCCCACTCAATTCCTTCCCTCATGACGGTCACAACAGACCCCGAGGACACAGGCCCATGGCACCCGTATCGCTGGGCCTTTGGGAAGGCATGAAGACCTAAACGATCTCCCGCAAATGTTACACACCTGGGGGGCTCAGGCCCCTCCCTCTCTTCTTCTCCGGGCCTTGTGCCTCCTTCTTTCTGCAAGGTTGAAGAGGAGGCTGCCCTGCCCCCCCTTATTAGGAGTGGAAAGAACTGTTCCAAGGACCATACGCGCCCACAGTGGACCTGAGTCCGCAACCCTTGCTGATGAGCCCTCATGTATATAAACCCCCTTACCTTAGAAGGGACCACGATAAGGGATCCCCCTGTTGAGGGCCTTGAAGAGGGAGTGTGTGAATAGTAACCAGAAGTCTACATTAAAGTCCTGGTACTGAAACCCCATACGAATCTTGCGAAGCGCAGGATTAGGTTTGGGCTCAAAGCGCGAAAGCGGTCCGAAACCCGCAAGCATCTCTGAGGGACCTTACCCATAGGCCCCGAAGTAGTTCCTTTTTGGGATTGACTTATAGGATTCTAAACATAAACCATAAAAAGGAACTACTTAGGGGCCTATGGGTAGTTAGAGCAAGACTTGGATCGACAGGAGGAGGGCTAGATTTTATATGATATACCTATACTCCACACACATTCAACTCTTCCTGAGCGGGGACAGTCTCCACGGTATGTTCTGGCAATTCTAGCCTAAACGCTGTATTGGTAATTATTCAAGCCCCTGGAATTCTTGCGCGGCCTGGTCCTGCCCAGCAGGATGATGATGCTTTTACAGTTTTCGAAAGCAGCAACTGCTGGACAAGCGCTTTTACGCGCCAGGTTTCGCAGAGTCTTCGCTGGCTTGGGCAGCCAGTCCCTCACAGACCTCGACTGTCAGATCTGCTGTTTAGGGCCTAGGGCCTAGGGTCTAAGATCTTTGGTAAGGTGAAGAAGTACGACTCAGTAGCGGCTCATGGCCCGATATGAAGTACTAGGCTCCTTTACTGAGCATGACATATATGAGTGGAGAGCATCCCAGAGTTTCATGTGGCCTGGGGGGTTCTAGAAGAGGGTTCCTCTTCAAGGAGGCTAGATGGACCTGCATGCCAGAGCGGTCTTTCAAGCTGCTTTCAAACGTCTGTCGTGAGAGAGGGTGCTCTTTCATGGGAAATTCTCGTAGTCGGTGGGACTCCAATTTGGAGCAACCCGGCTAGAAAAGCAAAGGATAACACGTCTGCTTGCCAACGATTAGTGTCCACAGTGTCACGAACCTGGCAACCTTGCTTTCTACCTGGAGCTATGCATACCTTAGGAACTGGGTCGCCTGCTATGCGGTGAACCCGCGCTGCACTGCAAATCAGATACCAACAGGGATCAAATTTCAAGAATGAGACGTCGAGAAGACAAAGAGCCGTGATTCTGGTGATGATACGTCTGACTGGTTCGGGCCCCTGTTGGTGTGCCCAAGTCCCCCGCCAATCACACATCTCCCCGAGCCTTTTTCCCTAAAGCCATTCGCCCTCAAACCTTTGTATACTTAGAGTAGGGCTTTCGTGTATGCTAGAAACCAAGCTAGGAACTCTACGGCCGCTACGGAAAAGTCTTGCCGTTTATACCGGCTGCTGTCTGAATTAAGGCCTAAGGCCCAGGCGGCAGGAAAGGCAGAACGTCCAGCACACCACGAGCACCCGGTGCCACGAGGGCATCAACGAGCCGGCCTGGGCATTCTGGTTTATGGCTTAGTTTATTGAGTGCTCCCTGTCGCATGGCTAGGGATCGGTTTATAGGGCTTGGCAGTTTGGGCTTTTGGGCCAAGGCGTTAGGAGCTGTAGGGCTTCGCACAAGGCCGGCAAGGCTGTTGGGCTCAGGGTCTGAGTGCCAACAGGTGTTATTGAGTGCGAAAGCCAGTCAAGCCAATCTCAAACCAAAGTAACCGGCAGAACAGGGTTCAGGGCTGTGAGCACCTCGGGTACTCTGCACCATCTGCCATCGCAAGCAGCCGTTAGCAGTACCAACGCACTGTCAGCAGCTTGCCCGGGCTTTGGCAGTATGTGCGAAGAGCACAAGGGTTGGTGTGTATCTTCACCGGAACTAGACCACAAAGACAAACCCCTGAATTCTGGACCCCGGAAATATGAGGGGCCAATCTTTGCTAGAGTCTTTTCGGGTCAAGGTAATAATAATAATAATATAATAATAATAACAATAAGAATAATAATAACAAATGTGTGTCAGGGAGCCTGGTTCTTGCGGAAACCTCCAAGGAGAGGAACGCCGTCAGAGAAAAAATGCCTAGCATAGGGGGCCTTAATCATCAGACTAAGGTTTGCGGGCATAAAGACAAGAACCCTTAGGACTAACACTCTAGGCTAAAACCTACTCCCAAAACCGGCGAGTCAAGTCTCTAGACTGGGATCAGTTTTTTTTCTGAACGACTCTTTTCCGGGTTTCGACCCACACACTCGCACAAGCCTGGCATGGCGGTTGGAGGTCTGAGCTTTTCCAGGTTTAGGGTTTAGGGTCTCTAGGCTGCGAACACGGGCCCTCAACCCCCAAAACCCATCTCCCAGATCATCCTTGAACGGTCCTCCGACCCGAACAAACTATGGGCAATTCTCTGATCCACCAGACAGCACGTGGCGTGCATAATTTGAGACCAGCGGTTTGTAGTTACACAGCCCAATCACACGCCAGACTTTGCGACAGAGGACTGTGCTCTTCAGCTACAACCCAGAGACTCCAATATCCCTTAATTAAGGAATATACCTTAAATCTTATTAGGGTTCCTATTATAATTTAAGGTATACTCCTTAATTAAGGGATATTGGAGTCTCTGGGAACATGGTGAAGGGCTTCGACTCTCGCCACTCGCACAAAGGCAGGCAAGACTTCAGGACGACTGGTCCAAACTGCTTGGGATTCTAAGTTTCATTTGGGAGTTTCCGAAAATTAGGGGTACCTTTTTTTGGGGTCCTTATAATAAGGATCCTACTATTTCGGGTACTATATTAGGGTCCCCTATTTTCGGAAAGCCCCATTTGGACGAGCGATAGGACATTCCACTAGCTAGCTGAAAGTCAACTCTTCGCATTACTGCCACAATCAAAATCAAAGTGAATGTTATCAAGGTGGCTCTCAGAATGATTACGGCACGCCTATACGCACAGGCAAATCTTGTTTTGCATCCGCAACGTGCAAAAATATGGTGAGGTTTTTGGGTCTTTCTTGCACTTTTCAACAGGCTACCATCAGGTATGAAATTAGTTGCAGGCGCAGCATGCCCAATGGAAGTCAAGCCAGCAGAGCCAATCAAAGCTTAGCCGCTAACTACCCTAAGCCCCCTCAACCCTGAACCACCTAAATCCTAAACGCCA